AAAAATTTATTGATTTATGAGAACACATTTGCTAAGAAATGTAATAGCTTTAACAGCAGCTTTTTATTTTGTCATTTAAGAGCCATTATCTGAGAAAGTCAGACACTGCCGAACAGATGCTTAAACTAGCATTCTCAGATTTGGCTGAAATTTTCATCACAAATACTAGACCACAAATTGTGATTATGAAAAAGTTTTAGATTTTGAAAGTGCTCTCTTTAAAAGTTACAGATGCCGCAAGTAAACTGAGTCAAACATGTGAAAAGGCCGAATTTTTCAATAAAAAACGCATTTTCTCCGAAAGTTTACGTCAGAATAGGGCAAAATTTTTTCTACATACTTCTGGTATGCTAGGCAAACTGTGGCTACAAGAAAGTCATGAAAAAAGGTCTTCGGTCAGATTTGGCAAAGGTTTTAATTGGCACCCCTACCTACAAAAAGACTTGCTAATTTTTCAGAATCCTGAATAGTTATAGAACCAAGAGTAAGTAGATCTAGACCAGTTTTCAATGCTGATTCTGAAAATCCGAGCAAAAGTCTTGGAAAATGTTTTGGGAAATCCATAGAAAGATTCTTAGAAATCTTCTAGATAAAATATATGTTCCTGAACATGTTGTAGCCATTTTTGATGGTCTATGGCATCAATTAAGGGGGTTTTAGCATTTTTACGTTCACTAGAAGGTCTTTCACGGCTAGCTCATTACGAATGTTTTTTTTTGAGTGAGAAACTTGTTCTTGTTCTCCGTTTTACTGATTGTCCCTCCAACTGTTATGTAAGAACTTTGTCTTCAAGTGTATATACCCCAAAACGAGTGGACTAAACTTGCAAAGAACAGATTATAAAACTTTCATAAAATACGAGTACCACCGAAAAGTTGGGCTCAAAACAGTTTGTAGAATCGTTAGTCGCGAGAAATATTTGATGATCTTTCTCACCACGAAGAGGTCATTCTATGAAGGGAAAGATAATCTTCCTAAATGAAGTTTTAGTTGCAAGCTTGCTTCAAGGTGTACCAGCGTGACCTACAGAAAAGCAGCACGTACATTTCATCAAAAATATTTTCTAGCATCAAAAATAAGCACAAATGATTTCATCAAGAATATAACAAGCAATCAATCACAAAACACACTAATCAAACACGCACAAATAGAAAGAAGAGGCATGATATGGATAACGGTCTGCCTGACACCCTACGGACTTAGAATAATGCAAAAGAAATCGTTTTGCCGTAGAGCGCTCCCTTTTCGACGTCCAGAACGCCGCCCTTTCTAAAGAGAGTATTTTAAATTTTTTTTTGGTGTTTTGGCCGCTTGCAGGCTTCCCTTCACGAACAAGTTGCCGAATAGGAATGGGTGTGCGTGTGCATGCGGTCCTGGCGCAAGGGGGAAATGACTGACTTAAGTCACTTTAAAGTCATGTTAAGTCAAGTAAATCAATTAAGTCATTTTAAGTCAGTTAAGTCAAGAAAGTCATTTTAAGTCATAAAAATGTCAAGAAAGTCACGAAAATCACCTGTAAAGGAGCATTAATAAAAAATAAAAAGCTGTGATTTTTTTTTCAATCTCGACGACACATCCTCTAAAATATTTTCTTCACATGTTTTTTCAATGATATACACATAAAATAGGCGAAAGAAAAAGATACATATATGTTGTAGGCAAAATTGGCATATCATTTTGAGAACTTCAGAATTAACAAAGAAAACCAATAATACAATCACGAGTGGAGTTAAGGATGATGGTGAGAGTGAAGGAAAAGATCTGAGTGAGAGAGCGGAAATAATGATAGTGTGGGTAAAGGATTCTCAGCAAGGGTTAATTTTTCAGTAAGATTATGATGTTATACAATTATTCAGTCTGATTTTATCCTCAACTTCACCACACTTATCGAGACTTCTCATCTTCACTCAGGCCTCGGTCCTCGGCATCACCATCATTCATGATGACGAGAGATATGCGAGATCAAAAACTAAAGAATTGTCAAGACCAAAACATAAAAACTTACAGGGACCAGACTGGGACCAAGAACAAGAAAGCAAAGTTTTTTGTTAAATTTTCCTTGATTTTTAGCAAATTATGTGGTAAATCATATCATTTTTTGACGAAATTGATCACAATAGGAGTATTTAAGAATTTTTTAAGATTCAAATCAAAAAATTCTAGAGTATTTTGCTTCACACTAGCACAAAAATCAGAACCGGAATCGTGATAAAAAAAAAGTTGGTCTCGAATATGTCTATTCGTAGCTCCACTTCTGTCTTTATTGTTGTCTTTTTTTTGTAGTTTTGAAGTTCATCAAAAATAATGCTCCAATTTTAACTCATGAAAATTAGAATTCTAATTTTGCCTACAACATATATATAATTCGTGTGTGCTAGGCATTAATTTAGTTTGAACTTTGCCATTTATACGCATGTATCGTTTTTTTTTACTCGTTTTATAAGTATCATTTTTTTAATTTTATGTTCATATCACTTTTACATTTATGACTCCTCGAACATTATTTATGCGCACTAAAGTATTGCTTTCTGATGTGTTCACCTCCCACAATAATGACTTTCACATTCTTATAGATCAGCTTGCCAGTTCAGATAAAGCAGCATTACTTAAAATTCAAGGTACTCGGGCGTAAGTGAAATCAAATGCGGATTCGAGTATTTACAAACATGATTCATTTAGGAACTTCTTTCAATGCTGTTATTCTTGTTTTAAGTATAATTCAACGAGCTCTATCCAATGATATATGCGGGTTTCTCATAGCTCAAAACATGTCTTCAGAAACCTCACAATACTGAAATTTCACTATGCCGACCTTGGAATGCGTAAATTAATAGTTGTTCATCGTGCGGACGAATCTATTCCAAAGTTTCCATTCTTATGCAAGGTAACGGTTAATAGAAGCGTATCGTTTCATCTTCTATTAGGTTCATCTTGGCTAACCTGCGAGGAAAACCATTTACCAGTGCCTGTTTCATATTACATAGAGAGAAACCAAGTTTTCTAAATCAAGTTTTGTAACGAGTTTTCACGGATATATGGGGAATGGAATTCACTTAGTGAGGTATAAACTATTAACCAGTATATTGACAGTTTAAGTGATATATTTTGAACAATTAATAATATAAATAGACTATTAGAAACAGCTTATGGAGTTCTACTTGGCACAATAATAGGAAATTTGTCACAGCTTCTTGGACTAATATGAACAGTTGTTATTTTGTAGATTCCAAGATCCTAATAGTGAAGTTTCAATATTGTAAGGTTCTCTGAGGCATGCTTTGAGTTATGAAAAATCTAATTATACCATTGGATAGAGCTCGTCTAGTTGTACGTGAAATAAGAATAACAACATTGGAGCAAGTTTCTGAATGAATCCTACTAGTAAATAGTCGAATCTGGACTAAACTTCACCTACGTTTTCAAGGGGTTATGAGAGCACAGATTGAAATTATGATTGTTTTCGCTGTTTACAAAGCTGAAGGATGTCAGAATTGAAAGTAACATTCAAATAAAGCGAGATATATTGGTTATAAAATAAATGACTTTCATGATTTTTAAAGTCATGAAAGTCATTTTAAGTCAATTAAGTCAAAAAGTCCTAAGTCAGTCGTTTCCCTCTTGACCTGACGTGTGGGTGTCCCCCATCCACACACTCATAGACATTGGGCAGTACGGTCTTTGTAAAATTTCCAGTGCAGCATATTTTCCTACATATTTTTTCATCACTTTATAGCTCTTGATGATCCCTATCTATCGTGAAAAAATGCCACTTTTGTGAAACACGATCTGGGAGAAATGTTGAACCGTGTAGGCTACAAACTTGGACCCACTCCCGTCCACCCCCACCCCACAGACCATGACACAGGGATTCCATATCCATCACAGACCGTGACAGAGAAACTCCAGAGACCATCACAGATCTTTACAGCGAAGCTCCAGAAACCATCACAGTCCGTGAGAGAGAAACTGGAAACCCATCACAGTCCGCGACAGAGAATCTCCGAATCCATCACAGACCGTGACAGGGAAACTCCAGAGACCCTCACAGCCCGTGACAGAGAAACTCCGAACCCATCACAAACCGTGAATGAGAAACTCCGACCACATTGCAGATCGTGGGAGAGAAAATTCATATGCAGGACAGATGGTGACAGCCCTTTGGATACACAATTTACGATTATATGTCATTAGAATCTGATAAAATATGTCGATTATTTTCTTATTGCAGTTCTAGAGGATAAGGTGCAAAATGATGAATAAATGGGGCCCAACGTATATCGAAGAAAACCATATTAGTGTGACTAGTAAGAACAGTTAGATCATGTTTCGCATTTCGATTCCGTAGGGTTTTCGCTAACAGCTTTTCCAATGAAGCCGACTGGTGATCACATGAGCCACATGGTGCTGTTTTTATGAAAAATGTACGATGGGCAGACTGCTTGACTACCTCGTTCAATACTGCTATAAACGTGCGGGCAAATCGTCCTGTGGCTCTAGCGTAGTATACTGTTGAAGTAGGAAGCATAAGTTTGATGAATAATAGTGACTTTCTAAGTAGTTTTTCAATAAGGCTGATTTGTGGACAAAACGTTTCCCATGCTTTTGAATACCTTAAAATTTGAATAACTCAGTCCAGACTCGCGATCAGCAACCCATATTTTTAATTTCGTAGTTTCTCGTTGAGGATCACAATTTGATCCGAATATAGTTAAGCAAATCAACTGACAGTACAAGCAACTCCATTGTCAGTAGCAGAATGCTGCTTACATTGCTATCTGTCGCTCTCAGAGTGAAACAAAAATAAAGTAAATCAAAATAACAGATCTTGTAGCTATCGAACAGTTCTATGGGCATAATTACTTTACTCTGATTAAAGATGACTTCTATTCAACGTATCGTGTGTAATCTCAAAATGATCATATATTATATAGGGATCATTAGTCGCTCATTGAAGATGACTTTAAAATTTGTAAGATAGCCTATTTGATGCATATTTCAACGCTGAAAAATAAATGCAAATTGAATTTCTAGTTTGAAGAAAATTCAGAGCTGAAATATATATGAAAGATGTGAGAAAATGATGAAAATATGATTTCCGATGCAATGGTAGAATATCTTGTAAGGCTTAATTGAAGGCTTGTTGCTACTTGAATTTCGAATATTTTATACTCATTGAATAGCTCTTTCTTTGCTCTATCGAAATCCATAACAACATTTCTGGTCCCGTTAGATTTAACGGGAAAATACAGGCTCGTACTGAAGAAAAACGAGAAAAAATGTCTATAAAACAGTATGGGCGATCTAGTTTTCACCCTACATACCTATATATTGAAAGTTGAAAAGAAGGTCATATATTGGATTTTGTAGAGCGAAATTCGTTCTATCGAATGAGCTGTAAATCGAAAAGATTCTAATAAGTTACAGAAAAGAAAGTTATCAAACACTGGCTAATAAAAAAAAAAATTTTTCAAAAAGTCCTTTGAAGTCCTTTCCAATGTTTGCTTCATGACTTTTCAAAAGTACGCTAGGAAAGGCTAAAAATTTGGATTTAGAGGTTTTGAATGAGGCTCTTTCATTTGCAATCAAAAAAAATATAGGGACCAAATTTTTCTAGAGTATGGTTCTGTTGATCAATTCTCCCTATTCTCATGGGCCGTCTCTTAAATGACAAAACTAACAGCTGCAGCTAAAGCACATCCATTTTATTCCATCATAATCGTAAAAAGATTAAAAGCAAATGAAAAGAATTGCACTAAAACATAGTTTTATAAAACTTGATCTTTGGCACAATTCAGACATGGCATGATGATTTACAACGAAATAGCTTTAAAATCTTAGAATATTTTTAATAAGCTTGAAAGCTTATCAAATGTTTGACTACTCACTTCCGTTAGGTTAGCGCTTTTCTAAAAATAAGTGTTGCTTTAGTAATATAGTCGAAAAACGGACTTTAATAATATAGTCCATAGTTCGGACAGTGATGCATGTCTAATAATGAATGTCAACCCTAAAGCCAGAGTAAAGCATAAACTGTGGTATTTTTAAACTCAAGATTGTTATTAAGAACACATAAAAAAATCTTTCGTAATGAACAGCTTGTTTTTCTGCGTATTCGATATAATTTATGATATTGTCAAATACATTGAAACACTTTTATATATGTCAGTGTCCAATCTAGGATTGACCTAGGTCAAAGTCGAATCTGAGTTTGGACTCGGTCAAACTTGAATTTTGATTGTACCAGACAGAAAACTAAAAATGTTAAGTAAAGTTTAGCAGGAATTTTCCTTAAATTGTATTCTGGATGCCCACTGATTTGAAAACAGTGCTTGGTGATTTATCAATCAACATCTACGCTCACCTGTATGCGGAAGAACGAAATTGTGCACATACTCAATTCGGGAAGGTAAACACAGCAACCAGTGATGACGGTAGGAGCACTGTTTTCAAACCAGCACGAACCAGTAGACATCCAGAATACATTTTAAGAAAAATTCCTACTAGACCTTACTTAAAATTTGAAATTTTCTGTGTTTTACTATCAAAATCCAAGATTGGACGGAATCCGAGTTTGGGTGCTGACATATAAAGGGTGGGCCAAAAGTCCTGACCGAATTTGAGGGTAACCTCCCCTTTCCCCTCAAATTCGGTCAAGACTTCTCCCCCACTTCTTATATTTGATGCAGAGATTTATTCTTTGACATCGTGATAGCAACATTTAATTGTTGAATGAAGAGGAGAAGCTGATTGATTCGTACCTGGACATAAATGGTTGAAAAGAAATGCTTGCCTTCATCACAATTTTGTTACAAAAGAACACCGCTTCGTCTATTAGACAATGCATAATACAAGCAATATCTCACTTCTTTTATCTCTTGTTTAACATGTTTGATTTTTAGCTTGCGTCATAATGCATTTAATTATGATGATTACGGTAAAAATAATTTTTTATGCAACTGTACAAAAGTTGGTACATTTGGTAAATTTTGTGAATATAATTTTATGAGTAATCCAAGTTTTGAAGAAACAATTGAACATCAGTTTAGTTTAAAATTGAAATATTATTTGGGAAGTCAATATGTTGGGAACCGAACATGCTACGAAACTTTAACATGTAGTTTTGGATTATTATGTCTTGATTGGAGAAACATATGTGATGGTAAACAACAATGTATTGATGGTTTGGACGAAAATAATTGTGAATTATTAGAATATAATGAATGCGAACCGAATGAATATCGATGTGCAAATGGACAATGCATTGATGAAGAATTCTTTTTAGATGGTGATATAGATTGTATGGATCGTTCTGATGAACAATATAAAATCTTATCACAATTTCATATTGTATTTAACACTTGTGGATTTAAACCAGATTTTAATTGCGATGAATTATTATTACCAAGAAAAGACTTTTCTTGTGGTGATGGTGAAATCTACCCAGATAGAGTTATATTTCATAGAGAGTTACTTGACGGTGATCATTGTTTTAGTTTTAGGGATAAAAATTTTATGTGTGAATTAGATAAATATGTACCGATGTGGACAATGAATAATGGACAGTGTGTACTCTATGGTCGGTTAGAAGGTAATAGTACGAATGATATATGTTTATTTTTGATTAAATGCGCATTAAACAATGGTCAAGGACTCGGATGTCCTTGTAATGGTCAAAATTGTAAAAATATTATTATACATTATGGTTGTACAATAAACGATTCATATGTTGAATATCCTAAAGGAGGTATATTTGCTCCATATGTAAAAACATTTTATAAGTTGGAAAATCTTCATACGAATAAACAACCGGATAATTATTCATTTACTGATAGTGTTAAATGTATCGGCTTTCAAGCTTATGCCAAAGAACTATTTCTACTAGACTATGATTCTTATACATATGCTACTTCCTCTCAATGGCGTCCATTCGAACAAATATTTTGCAGCATAAGAAATGAATCATTTTTTATTCGTAATTCATCAGGTCCACAATACGATCAAAACTGTTGGAATAATTCGTATAAATCGTTCAAATGTCCATATTCTGATCGATGTATATCTATATATCGTGTAGCTGATGGAAACGTTGATTGTGAAGTAAATGATGATGAACCATTTTTAACAAATGGTGCATATTTTGCTCCCGTAAATTGTTCATCGATTCAAAAACATCGTTTTCGTTGTTCAATAGAAGAACCATCATGTTTTTTAAGTTCAAATATTGGAGATTCTATTCGACATTGTATCACAAATAATCGTGATGAATATTCAGTTGAAATGGAATTAAAATTATCAAATAGTCTATGCACAGTTAAAAATTCTGTTGAATGTACCTTAGTGAAAAAATATATCGAGCAATCGTCATCGCTTATTTCATTAACAAACACAACAGATAATAATACAAATATAAATTTGGCATTATTATCTTCTAAATCAATGTTATTTAGTCAATATTGTGATACATTTTGGGATTTAATATTAGGTTTTGATGAAACATCATATTTATGCAAAGAATGGATTTGTCCAAGTAGCTATTATCAATGTTTGAATGGACAATGTATTCCATTGGATTGGATTTGTGATGGTGAATGGGATTGTAGTGATGGAAGCGATGAAGAAGGTTTATTATCAATAATTAAACTTTCACAACATAATTCCAAAATAATAAGTTTGAATAAACTGAAATTAGAATGCCTACAAGAACATTATATTCGTCCATTTTCCAATATTTGTACTATTTTTGAATATCCATGTATATTAGCCAATGTTAGAGATCCATTTAATTTTACTGAAAATCGACCATGTATAAATGTTAGTAAAATAGGTGATGGAAAATCTGATTGTTATGGTGGATTAGATGAACGAAACGTTCGTAGTTGTTCTGTACAACGAATGTTAGGTTTTGAATTTGAATGTCAAGCTGAAAAACCTGAAGATATTGCTGATAGTCATTGTATTCCATATGGTGATCAATGTAGTCTTCGTTGTTTAAATGGTGAAGACAAGACATTATGTTTTTATTTAAAAAATAATTCTAGAATTCGTTGTGATGGTTCAATGGTTATGGAAATAGAATCGTACAAAGATGTTCATTGTCTCGATGGTAAATGCATACCAAATGCAAGATGTAATGGAATTTCTGAATGTTTCTATGGTGAAGATGAATACTATTGTAGTAAAGAATCAGCAATATTTACAAAATATCGAGGCTTTAAACATCGTTACATGAATAATATTCTACAAACAGTTAATCTACCGAGCTATCCAGAAAAAGTTGATGAAACATTAAACCAAGATCAAACTATTCGACATACAAAACACCATGATTACAGCGATCATTTTCTTCAAATTTCATCGAATATATCCTCTATTATTCATCGAATTATCTGGAAAAAAGTATCATCTTCACTTCAGGTCATGACTTTTGTCAATGATATACAACAATATAGGAATACAAATGACTATATATACTTTAATCAAAGTAACGTTAATTATAATCTTTTACAAATGGAACAACTGCTGATATATCAATCAATTGAGCCATGGACATGCAATCGAGGAGTAGCAGTCGAAAGACAAATGAATAATTCTTCAAATGCAATCATTAAATGTTTTTGTCCACCAAGTTATTTTGGACGATTTTGTCAATATTATAGTGATCGTATAACAGTTATTACACATTTGGACGGTTTAAAATATATTTACAAAGATTATCAACAATTACTGAATATTACAATAAAAGTATTAGCTACGTTCATTCATAACGAAAGTCATATCGTTGATCATAATGAAATTCATTTTACACCAGTAGTAAACAATTTAAACGAAAAACAAAAGTTTTATTTTGTTTATCCAAGACCAAGAACATTATCTCGAAATCGTCTTTATCAAATACGCTTTGAAGCATTTGAACTAAATATGAATACCACTATTCGATTATTAGCTATTTGGAAATATCCAATTGATTTTGATTTTCTTCCATCATTTCGTATAGCAAAAATATTAAAATTTCAACAAAAACAAAAACAAGAACAACAAACTCACCATATTTGTGAAATAAATCCCTGTCAAAATAATGGTACTTGTTATCCTATAATGAACAACAATGATTCAACTATGTATTTTTGTTATTGTGTCAATAATTCATATGGAAAAAATTGTGAACATATTGATGATTCTAGTTGTTCAATATGCTCATCGAATTCTTTATGTCGACCACATTATCATAATACTGCTAATCCATTATGTTTATGTCCAATAAACCGTTTTGGTCCAACATGTCATTTAGAAAGAAAATGTGATATGTTTAATAATAAGAATCCCTGCTTAAATGGAGGATCATGTTCTGTCAAATATGATCAAGATGCTTTAATAAAAGATTATGTTTGCATTTGTCAAGCCATGTATTATGGTGACCATTGTCAATATCTGCCTAGCCGAATTAATATACAATATTTGATCAACGATATTAATCTTCATTCGACTCTTGCATCTGTTATTCAACTTTATAATTATGATTTTCTAACATTAGATTTGATTTTAGAACAACAACAAGTTTATGAAGGTCAACCAACGTATTCAAATATTATCTATGCTAGACAATTGTTACCAAGTCTTGGTTTCCTTAAAGTATATTATCATGATAAACAACATCCAATGACACTAAATGTCAAATACTTTATTTTATATAGTCGAAAAGATGAAAGAAATATTAGTTTAACAGTTACTTTAAACATGAACAATTCTTGTCCGCATACACATTTATTATTTTTTTCCAATGTGTCACAAACAGAATATTTACTACCAAGTAAGTTCATTTCAGTTAATGAGTTTCTAAAACGAAATAATTGCAGCAGTGCTCAAACAAAAAAGCTCTTTACACATGCTAAGATAAACGCATTCTTATCATACGCATATGATAATGAAAGCCTGTGTAAGTTGCAAGCATAGTTTGACTGTTGAAATAAAAACTAAATGTTGTTCATGGACTCAGCTGCTAAACATGTTTTTTTTACTGTATATCAAAAAAGAAGAAGTGATTATCATATATAGCTCAAATATTTAAAAGCTTTTATTTTGTTTATATTTGAAGATATTAGTGTTTCAAATGAAATGTATGGGGAATTGAATACATCAACGATAGTGCATAAATATCATAGTTTATGCCAAAATAAATTATTTTCATTACTGTGTTTTCATGACGATAATTATCTTTGTTTATGCGATACAAATAAAAGAGCTGAATGTTTTCGTTATAATCGCACAATAGATTCATGTCGACATTGTTTACTGGATAGTCCGTGTATTCAAGGAGATATAAATGTCGAATCTGATTTCTTATGTTTATGCCCAGAATGTCATTTTGGTTCAATATGTCAACACAATACGCGTTTATTAAGTTTTACATTGGACTCACTATTTGCTAATGATATATTTTCTAACTCAATTTCAACTCAAAATTTATTTTTTGCTCTTTATCTTCTGATACTCATCATCGTATTATTATTTGGTTTCTTCAATAATATATGCTGTTTTGTAACGTTTCGTCGCTCAAAACCACGAGAAGGTTCGTAACTACTCAGCTCGAGTCTGCATGTATCTGTTACCAGATCACAGTCAAATATTATACTTATTAGAATTTTTCGAGAGTGTTCTCGCAGACTACATGAAATGGGTAGAGGGTGTCAGAATCAATCTGAAACTCAGAACCAGATGGATACAGTCAACGTGAAGATCATTAGATAGAATCATGATCAAAGCACTAGTGACGGCATGGGCAGAGAGCACCATAACCAGTGTGAATGGAAGTAATTTGATAGATGAAGGCACAGTTTTATTTTAAATGTGAGATCTAATTACAAAGAGTGATGGATCCAGATTTTAGCACTAGGCCTTTATTAATTATCTAGATAGCTGTATATCTCAAACCCTCAAAAACCTTTTCAAATTTTTCAAGGTTCTTTTTTTTCTGAAAAGTGTAGACCTAATTCGAAAGTTGGCTCCCACCAGTCCACGCAGAATTTCATGATCTTTCGATTAAAATAATTTATTTTGAAAGAAAATGCTGTGCATTGTTAAATCCATCGACGGCGTATGGAAAAATGCTTATAAAGTTTTGACGTAACGTTCTTTTTTTAAATCAAAAAAATCTGCTCTACAAATCATAAAAAGATTTAACTACATAAATATTCAGGAAAAAAGAATTATTTGATGGCCTCGATTTTCAAGGCTCGAAAAAAACTTGTTCGAACATTATAAATTCTGAAAGGAGGAGCTATCTTCACTATGCCCTTAAAATATAAAATGCCACCATATTAATCATTCTAACTGATTTTAAGTTCTTATCTAACACAAATATTAGTTTTGTGATTTCTTCTTATAGTTGGTGTAGGCTATTATTTGTTCATCAATAGTATAACAAGTCAAGGATCAATTCTATTTTTATTGATAAAAATGGTTCATTTTTTATTAAGTGCAAAAGGTTTAATAATAAATTATACAGTGAACATGATTTTATNTATATTTTCTAACTCAATTTCAACTCAACATTTATTTACTGCTCTTTATCTTCTGATACTCATCATCGTATTATTATTTGGTTTCTTCAATAATATATGCTGTTTTGTAACGTTTCGTCGTTCAAAACCACGAGAAGGTTCGTAACTACTCAGTTTAGTATACATTTTAAGCATCTCTATAATGTTGAGTCTGCATGTATCTGTTACCAGATCACAGTCAAATCTTATACTTATTAGAATTTTTCGAGAGTGTTCTCGCAGACTACATGACATGGATAGAGGGTGTCAGAATCAATCTGAAACTCAGAACCAGATGGATACAGTCAATGTGAAGATCATTAGATAGAATCATGATCAAAGCACTAGTGACGGCATGGGCAGAGAGCACCATAACCAGTGTGAATGGAAGTAATTTGATAGATGAAGGCACAGTTTTATTTAAAATGTGAGATCTAATTACAAAGACTGATGGATCCAGATTTTAGAACTAGGCCTTTATTAATTATCTAGATAGCTGTATATCTCAAACCCTCAAAAACCTTTTCAAATTTTTCAAGGTTCTTTTTTTTCTGAAAATTGTAGGCCTAATTCGAAAGTTGGCTCCCACCAGTCCACGCAGAATTTCATGATATTTCGATTAAAATAATTTATTTTGAAAGAAAATGATGTGCATTGTCAAATCCATCGAGGGCGTATGGGAAAATGCTTATAAAGTTTTGACGTAACGTTCTTTTTTTTAAATCAAAAAAGTCTGCTCTACAAATCATAAAAAGATTTAACTACATAAATATCCAGGAAAAAAGAATTATTTGATGGCCTCGATTTTCAAGGCTCGAAGAAAACTTGTTCGAACATTATAAATTCTGAAAGGAGGAGCTATCTTCACTATGCCTTTAAAATATAAAATGCCACCATATTAATCATTCTAACTGATTTCAAGTTCTTATCTAACACAAATATTAGTTTTGTGATTTCTTCTTATAGTTGGTGTAGGCTATTATTTGTTCATCAATAGTATAACAAGTCAAGGATCAATTCTATTTTTATTGATAAAAATGGTTCATTTTTTATTAAGTACAAAAGGTTTAATAATAAATTATACAGTGAACATGATTTTATGCAAATCTATTACTTTTCTTTTATCATGTTTTACTCGCCTATGCTTTTGGTTAACTGCTTTTGTATCAGTTGAACGTGTCTGTGTCACCATATATCCAAGCGGTATCTGGATTAAAAAACCTAAAGTAGCCATAATTATAACTATTTCCACAATACTGTTTATATTAGGTTTACACACTCATGAACTCATTTATTACAATGTTGTTCCTGATCCAAAATATACAAAAAACGGGACATGGTGTGTTACACAATATAATAAACAAGTGTCATTTTATAACCAAGCAATAACAATTTTCAATTATATAATACCATGTCTAATTAATTTTGTTTCTGCACTTATTCTCATTCTAGTTGTTGCACGCAAACGTGCTAATACAAATCAGCAAAAATCTTATATTAAAGTGTTTCAACAACAACTTCAACACTACAAAGAATTATTTATTCCATCAGTTTTTATCATTTTAAGTGCATTACCTCAATTTATTATATCATTCAGTTTAGCATGTACAGAATTTTTAGATATTCCATGGCAACGTTATTTAGTAATAACAGCGTATTTTTTATCATATTTACCTCAGTTGACCAATTATATTCTATTTATATTACCATCTGTTTTATACAAAACAGAATTTGATCGTACATTATTAGGACAACAGTTGAAAAAGTTTAAAAAGCAATTCTGCACCAGACTTGGTAAAAAGCTGTAAATACATTCTGTTTGGAAAAGACAAAAAAACTATTGCGTCATTATCTGGATGAACGTTAGAAATACTAACATAGGCAACCGTTTTGTAACAATGAAATGCATGGTTCTTTCATGATTTCGTTGTAATCATTATAATTCATTGATAAACCAAAAACTAGAATCTAACACTGGTTTTAGCTTTTAACTTCGGCTTTGTTCATGATAACTTTTACTGCTTTTCTTTCTTTAACCTCAATAAAATTGCGTGATTCATACAGAATTATGGAACTCCATTTGTCTTTCTTTCAATACGTTGAAATGTTATTACGGAATTACTTGGAGTGATGTTCTAATTATATATTCTCAACTGTGATAACGTGAAGGTTACAGAAAGGCAGTCTGCCAATTTTAAATCCATTAGACGAATTAGTTGCTCTTCCAATTCATTCATGTTTTTCTAATTTTACATGAAATACAGACAAAAGTGTGTCATTTTACCTGATTACGCTTTCACTAACTGCTTGAACTTTTTTCGAAAAACCGATATTGTCATGAGATTCAACAAGCTTGAAAATCTACATTTCAAGTGCTTTTGCGTTTTCTAGAGTCAAGCCCTAGCCGATAGGTAACTCTCATGCAAATTTCAAACGCACTGAGAATACGTCTAAACGTGTGTTTGGGAGAGGGTGTGGGTGTTGGTGTGGCTAATAGAAAAACTACACTAAAACACACACCCTCACCCTAGTTCCTTATTGCTTTATTCACTGCAGCCAGATTCTTATATACGACAGTTGAGGTTCTCATATCATCTTTATAAATTTATGTGTTCAATTCGATTCAGAAAAGAAAACTTAATTTTGTGCAAGCAATCTTATTAGAAAAAGAACTTAAGGGTATGGGTATGGGTGTGGTATGGGGTGTGGGGTGGGTGTGAGTGTGAGTATTATCTTTAATGCACCCACACCCACACACCCATACCCACACCCCACACCCACACCCACACCCTAAAATTGTAAATAAACGACTTTTGTTCTTAAACTTTTTTCCGCTGGAGAAAAAATAAAACTTTTCTTTCCAAATAGAAACGAGAACTTTCAAAACCTTTTCATATGCATTAGATAAGTACTGATCCTGCCTAACTATAATAATTATGGAAACTTGCTTAGTCCTTATCGTTGAACAGAATGAAAAGAAACAATGTTGTTCTTAAACATTTTCCCACCACTTTATGACTGACAGTTTTCCTGAATGAAATAAACTGGACCCTATATATAAAGGCCATGCTCGAATAGTTTAAGTTATTTCTTCAGTAACATTCACTGCCGATTCGGCATGACCCAAACCCAAACGGTTTGGGTTTGGGTTTGGATTTTTATTAGAATCCTTTATTTATTTTCATATAGAATTAATGTATAGAGTGACAAGTTGGAGTCCCAAAGCTCTCACACACTGATGGATATTTCTATGCAGCTTCAGGAACCATGACAGATACCTTAGTATTACCGCGCTCTTTCTCTCTCTATACACATTTGCATACATATCTATGGAATTGAAGTTTATTGCTAGATTAATAAAAAATCTAATTGAAATTTAAAGACCTACCATTCACTTTTCTTTCACATTCATTGAAGCATATTATGATTGATATCTTGCATCATCAACATTTGTTAATAATCAATAGATATTCGTATAACTGAAACATTTTGGCAAATTTTTTCTCATTTTTTAAGGAAACGGTTCGTTGTGTTTCACATTTCAATCCTGGAGAGATTACGTTAGCAACTTTTGAATTTGAATTACTGGTACTACGCTTTGTTAACACAAATACCGTAGTTTAAGATGCTCTTTTATTTTGTTATTCCATAGAAAATCAACAGAAAGTATTACAAAAAAAATTGTCATGAATACGTGTTGTGATCAAACTTGTTGTTTTAAGTATCTTCTGTTTTAGATTTATATCTTATCTTTGAGAAAAACAAACATAGCTAAATTATCAGGTGTTAAGCGTGAACGCTGCGTTCTACCGTAATGAGCAGAAACAGAAAAACAGGATTCACTTTTGACGCTGGTTGCTGGTGCTGATAAGTAACAACGAGCCATCTGTGATAATAAAGGTAAGTCAATACCATGTTCTTTCCAAAACAACAACGGACTTGCAAATGGATGATCAATAAAAGTCACCACAGTAATCATATGACACCAGTGAACTGAGATTAATACAGACTCCAATATGATTTATTTTATCTAACTTTATATTAAGTCTTCAGATAACGTCCTCGAATTATTTCGTTTATTGCCTTCAGTGGAAGCCAGCATGCAAGTAATAGTGTAATCGGTTTAATATAATCATGAAAGAAGATCAAATCTTAGCTAAATTAGGTTTATATCTGATTCTAAGGAGATTCGATTGTGAGTTCAAAAACTCGTATCTAACCTAAATGATATCACGTATTAATTTAATAGGAGTATCTATTTCTATTTTATTTAATTTACTCGTAAATTAAATAATAAGTTATTAGTATTGAAAATTAATATAGATTAATTTTATTCGTGATTTCTATTTATAAATAAACATAAGTCATCATTTATCCACATTAATTAATAAATAACTATAAATAATCGGTTATTTAAATTTATGATAAATATAAATATAAACAACTGATTATATATCTATTTTTTTATAAATATAACTAATGAATAAAATTAATTTATGTTAACTCTCAATATGAACAATCAATAATTGATATTGATTTTAAATTAACCAAGAATTCCACCCCTACTAAATATAATGCCTAGAATAGTATTCTTTATACATACAATTTTGTAGCCAGATTTCGATAACGTTTGAATTCATCATGAATAGAAGATGTTGTTGATACTTCTTGTTGTAATTCTTTATTCGTGGATTTAAGAAATGCTTTCCATGATTTGTTAATATTATTAGCTCTTGGTATTGTATGTTGACTTCCTGATGATGTTGTCGACAATGGTGCTGTTGATTCAAAGTTTTTTTGTAAATTTTTATTGATTCTTTTTCAACTGAAGTTTGTTTCAATTTAGTGAGAACCGAAACTCCCGTGGGATCAAAATATCCATACATCTGTAACAAATTAAGATTATTCAATAACATGTTTAAATAACGTTTTACTGACTTTTAACGCATTAAATTGATCTGTATCGTCAAACATATAGTACTGAAATTTTACCAATACCTTGACTTTCAAAGCATTTAATGTTAAATTATCTTCAAATTTCTCTAAATAT